GTCATACCATAATTATATTGTCTTCTTTTATTGACGTCATTCTTTTGAAGTTCCAATAAACAAATCTGTACATTTATTTCACACAGACTAAAGTAGTTTATCAATCCATATTTAGTGTTGTAAGCGCAGACTGGCTCATAGTCTTGTCGATTTCTGAAATATAATTAGTTCTTCATCATCATCTTCGATATAAACAGCCTATAGGTGCCTACTACTGGTACTGCTCTTCTTTCACGAAGATCGCTTGAACATTAATCATAACGCTTGCTCAAGGCGTGTTGCCGATTTCAAAACTTATAATTAGAAATTGTAACAAACTAATAAAAATGACTGCCTTGTTGGCCGAGTTGTCGCATGTGCGACTGCCGGGGAAGGGGTCTTCGATTCTCGAGTCGGGCAACGTATTACAGGGTTTTTTAAAAATTCTCAGTAGTAGCACGGAGTCTGGAATTGTGCCCGGTATATGGCAATAGGCTCATCCCCTATTACACGGAACTCATAACATAAATAGTGAAAAGTGGGTGTTACATTGTACAGTGGCATAATGTTTTTAATAGATATATATTATTATGTATACTATGTGAACCTCTGCCTGCCCTTTCGGGGATAAAAGGTGTGATGTTATGTTATGTTGAAAACGGCAATATATTAAATTAATTCTGAGCATGAACAGGAGTTATGACTTGTTGTTGTTAGATTTTCTCAATTTTTTCTCAACGTTGTACACAGAACACAGGAGGAAATTCCAGTGTGGGGATTGGAATTTTCTCCTGTGTCGTTAAAAACATACTATTTCACATACACGTGACGCTGACACCCGAAACAATTGATTTGTAGATCACATCAAGAGTTTCGTGCGAATCAAACACGCTACATGTTGCACGGCAGTCAGTTGCCCAGCCACCGCACAAACTGTGCCGACTATTTAATTCAATTGGGATGTAGACAGAGTATGAAAATTAAAAAAAGTACTAATTAGTCCGTAAGATAGGTAATGAAAAAATATTAGACACACATTTTTTTATTTTGTCGTATAATAAAACAATACTTAGATTAAACTAATCAAAGTTTAGGAGTGGAGGCTAAAACGTCATTTCTACGTATAAAATGTACATAGAAGTGACGTCACGCGACATTTCAAATCAATATATCGTCGAAGTATTCGTTTCTGTAAGAAAATAAAAAATACGTGTCTAATGATTTAAAATAATCTACCAGACGGACATTAAAATAAAAATTAGGCATCTACCCTATCTGACATGTCTCACTATATTTATTAACAAAAAATACTAAACAATTAGGTTACTTACAAATTCTTATCACAAATTACTTTATTTGGAAAACAATCACTTTCCTTAACTACGGGTTGGGGATCTTCAACGTCATTAAAATCATATGTCATATAATCGCTGTCAAAAACAGGTTTATAATATAATGATTTATCCTCTTCTTGTAGTGGAAGTATGTCTGCTTCAACTGAAATAAAAATATTAATTTTTATATGAATAGAATAAATCACTGAAATGTATGTGGACTACTTATCGAAGTACTGGTTTAAATTGGATAATTCATTTTTGTTCTTTCAAGACTCATTAAGGGCCGATTTTTCCATAGTCCCCGTAGAGGTAGGCATAGGTGTACATTATACCACTGTACAATGTAACACCCACTTTTCACTATTAAACTGTCAAACACCAAGCGGTCACCGGTGACCGCAACCTATTGTTCTATAATTGTGTCTACAAAACCGGTACTCGACGAGTTAATGTTATGAGTCCCATGTGATAGTGGGTGAGCCTGTTGCCATACCCCGGTCACAATTCCAGACTCTTTGCTACCACTGAGAATTTATAAAAAGCCCAGTAGTACTTTGCCCGACCCGGGAATGGAACCCGAGACCCCTTGCTAGGTAGTCGCACAATTCTTCCATGCTAAAAAGTCTTAAATGTCAATTTTATTCTACAGTAAACAATTAACTATTGAGACATCAGCCCTAGGGATAACGGGAAAGTTTTCGGTCGTTCTTAACGCAATTTATCATCAGTAGAAGAGGTCCAATAACTAACGAATCGATTGCTTCATTTATGTTAACAAAATCGTTAAAAATGTGTGCTTGGTAAATAAATGTAAATGAAAAAGAGATCACGTAGTCTACAACTTTATTGTACCAAAAGGATATAGACGAAAACCTTCGATATTCTTGCAATACTACTAATACCAAGACATTATTATAGAACAAAGGTATCATTAAACGAAACAAGAACTATAAAAGTACCAAAAATCAGAAAAATTTATGTTTAGGAAAACATAAAATACGCAATAACAAAATAGAGGAACTCAACTGGTTTCACACCATACTAGAGGTTCATATTTGCATAGTAAGATTAAATATAGAAATATAATTTACCTGCCAATCCTACCATTACTATGGCAATGCAATAAATCTTATTCCGCATTGTACATTCGAAGAGTCTTCTCAAGTCTAGTTTGAGATAATACTAACAGTCGATCTAATAAAAAGACTGATAGACTTATATCGAAACAATCACTTAATGAAGGTCATTAAGAAGATGACAATGAAAGAAAAATTGATAAGAACTATGATTAACGGATTAATATCAGCGATATTTCACATTATGACTTTCATACCCGAAGGGTAAGCAGAGGTGCACATAAGGGCACCTAATATCACTGTACAATGTAACACCCAATTTTCACTATTAAACTGTCAATCACCACTAGGACACCGGTGACCGGAACCTATTGTTCTATAATTGTGTTCATAATGACGGTACTCAACGAGTTAATTTTATGAGTCTCATGTAATAGGGGGTGAGCCTATTGCAATATACCAGGCACAATTCTAGACTCCGTGCTACGTGTACTACTAAGAATATTTTTTTAAATCAAGGAATACTTTGCCCGACCCGGGAGTCGAACACGAGACCCTTACGAGTACTCTTACTTATAGGGTTTTTCCAAGAAACCTTTAATCTTTCATTAAACCTGCGTTTTTTTTTGTTATTTCCAATAAAGATACACTTATACAATGTTTATCAATTTTCTTTATTAGATAAGGTGTTGCATGAATGATTTTCTTCCTAAGCTAGGTAACCTTCGTAGAGATGCGCCATAACTGGTATTGCAACGCGAGGGCTGCGAAAGAGGAATATAACAGGCATGGCCCGGTATCCCTTATAGAGGATGATGGTGGCCAACCGTGAGATAAGAATCCCATACTCTCTCCTCTCTCCCCAAAATGCTAGACACTTTTTTGTTAAGTTTCCCTCAATAATAAAAAAGGCTAGACTACGCTTCCACAACACTACTGAGACTTTCAATTTCAGATTTCTAGATTAAAGTCAGGAACATTGGATTGGTCGGTATTCTATCTAAATAAATATTAATTAAATATTTAGACAAGATATTTGGAATTAATATTTATTGTATTTTCTGATTGGCAAGACATCATGTTATTGAGTAACATACACATAACATAACATCACGCCTTTTATCCCCGAAGGGGTAGGCAGAGGTGCACACAGAAGTAACACCCACTTTTCACTATTTATGCTATGAGTCCCATAGGACTATCACCCCCTATTACATATAATAGGGGGTGAGCCTATTGCCATATACTGGGCACATTTCCAGACTCCGTGCTACTACTTAGGATTTTTTTAAAACCCAGTAATACTTAGCCCGACCCGGGAATCGAACCCGAGACCCCTTGCCCGGCAGTCGCACTTGCGACCACTCGGCCAATGAGGCAGGCAGGCAGTTATTGAGTGACTATATTTTTTTTTAACTACAAAAATAATTCTAATATTACTGTATCTTCTTTTGCAGGTAATACTTCAATAAAGTTGTTTTGAGTGCTATCTGAAGGGGTGAGTAAGTAACATAAATAAAACAGATCAAAAATATCTTTATTGAATAAACAAGTAATACCTATATAAAAATATTTCTACTGCCAACGGCTTTGCTCGCGTTTCCGCGGGTAAAAAGTAGCCTATGTGTTATTCCAAACCATAATCTATCCGTGTTCCAAATTTTATTTCAATCCCTTAAGCCGTTTCGACGTGATTGAGTAATAAAACATTCATATAAACATGGTCGTGAGCGCCATGCAGCCAAGTCATGAGAGACTTATTGAAACTGTTACGGGATTAATATAATTTAATTTCAATAAATAAATATTTATTTTTTACAATTATTACGACAGTTTTATCATAGAAATCTGTGTATTGTCAAACCAATATATTTGGATCCATATCGCCACCTTCATGTGCATAATATTCGGGGCCTTCCGCACCGGCTTCGAAATAAATTTGAACAGCATGTGCTGCATTCTTTGCCATTTTGAAGTAAAATTTACAATCATGCATTAGACCGTTTTGATAAATAAAATCTGAAAATAAAGATTAGTGTCCTTAAAGTGGGTTACCAAAACTAATTTTTATTTTAATGTCCGCCTGGTAGATTATTTTAAAACATTAGAAACAAATACTTTCAGAAATATCGAGTGACGTCACTTCTAGGTACGTTGTTTATGTAGAAATGACGTTTCGGCTTCCACTCCCAAACTTTGATTCATTTTATCTAAGTACTGTTTTTTTACAGGACAAAATAAAAAAAATATGTGTGTTATATATTCATTATCACTTTCATTTCATTATTATTCATTACCAAGTTGACTGACTAAATGGATTTTTATTTTTCATACCCCGCCATTATCCCTATTTTTCTGATTCATAATCCCAGTAACACACAATTTTATACTACATCATCAACATAAATTGCCTTATTGGCCTAATTAACATTTCTTTGACTGTATAAAATGCAAAATTGTTTTTTTAATAAGATTATAATTACCATCATCGTTTCGAACACCGTACGAATACATCATGTTGTGACCAGCTTTCGTTTGTCTCTCACAATTTTCGAAATAAATGCTACATATGAAGTCAAAATCTATCAAACCCTCATTTTTGACGAAAGCACAAACGTCTACTTCGTGTGGTCTGAAAAAAATTTCATGTTAATTATAATATACAGTAAAATAATATAACTGTAGTGTTTTGTTTCATATAATAATATTTAGAAGACCAAAAACCACGTTGGCTTTGTTAAAAATGCCACATGACTACCACACGTCTCAGAGACGTGCGTTCAAGTATGGGAGAGCCATGGTTGAGCATGAATAGGCTGGCTCAACCGGAGTGATACCACGGCCTCACTCCAAACTCCTAATCCTCAAAAATCCAGTAACATGATGTCCATGGCTGGATTGCTTTGCATCAGGTGATCCGTCTACTCGTTTACCAGCTTATGCCATACAAAAAACGTAAGATTATTCTTTTCGCTAGTCTAAATGTTATGACTATCCTTCTAGGGTTGACGCAGAAGTTTATTGGTTACGTGTTATCTACTCAACAAAAGTCCTTGAAAAGTATAAATATATGTAGTTGTGAACACAGAAACGGACATGTACAAAACCTAGTGTTATTAAATACATTTAAAAAAATACTTTAGATTCGCCAAACATTTAATATTTGAACTGTGGCATATCCCTGGGCCATCAATAACAGGTTTTTGATTGAAATCTTCCGGTGTAAATGGTTCTAATTGTCCAAAATAATTCGAGTTTTGTGTTAAACACATTTTAACTGAAACAAGATAAAAAATATATTACATGATTTTATTATAAATTAAAAATGACGGGTTTATTCACGTGAACATACTGAGATAAGCTTTATTAATTTCGAGAGGCTCTTTCTCATGAGTAGCGTGCACGGTCGCGATTATGTCGCGAAGCCTACTGAGAGCTTCTCAGTATATTCTCGTAACGCGTCACTTTTAGTTGATTCAGTATGTCTCACGATAGTTATAAATTTGGTTATTCATTATAGTGGCATTGAGGCATGTGGTGCCAACGAAACACATTTTATTTTCTTTCCGTGAGTATTCTACAATATTACACAATTTACTCATTCGATAGATACCAGGCGCGCATAATTAAATTGTCCTTTCAAAGCACAGATCATATAAAGAAGGTTTCAAGCTATGATCTTCAAACTCATAGGTATCTTATTACATTCTTATTTTAAACAGTCACAATGGTAGAAAACCAAATACATTACAATTACTGTCATATTTACAACACTAAAATAATTATAAAGTCTAATTTATAAACTAGGTAGCTGCTCCGGCGCAATATTACCCTCTGCTTGGCTCGACTAACCGACACCACTGTTGGGGCTTAACTCCCAACAGTGAAAATGTTATAGAGGTGTTGAATGTTATGTTATGTCGAATGTGCAGACATCTGATCGGTATAAAGGTTTAATAGCTACTTAAAATAATCTGTCAAATAATTGCCTTAACTAAACTGCAATGTTTTATTCAAAGTGGGTTGATTAGGTAATGTATACGCTGTACAGCGTAGCTCGTACAACCATAATAATTATTCCATTCGATTCAGTAGTTCAGGAGATTAGCTCATTCGAACAAGTGTGTGGGAGAGCCATGCTTCGGCACGAATGGGCCGGGTCGACCGGAGTGATTCTACGGCCTCACAAAAAACCGACGTGAAGCAACGCTTGCGTTGTGTTTCGTCGTGTGAGTGAGGTTACCGGAGGCCCAATTACCCTCCCCTTCCCCAATCTCCCCAATTCTTGAATCCCCAACGATCCTCAAACTCCTAATCCCCAAAAGGCCGGTAACGCACTTGTAACGCCTCTGATGTTCCAGGTGTCCATGGGGGACGCCGATTGCTTACCATCAGATGATCCATCTGCTCGTTTACCGGCTTAGGCCATAAAAAAACATAATTTTCTTTATTATGTTTGCTTTATTATGAAAATATAAATAAAATCATCTTACCAAGAATAAAGAGCAAAAATGTAACTATTCCATTCAGCATTTTCAAACGGTTTACACGTCATGAACACTTGAATACAAAATGCGAATTAAAAACAAAACACTTTAATTCAGTTGCTAATGAACTTCTAGATAAGATCAACTACAATCAATTCGTTATCGTTCTCATTTTAAAGTATGAATTGATTGTGAACAGATTATCTGTCGTGGTGGCCCGGAGGTTTAAGATGCCCGCTTCTCATGCATGAGGGTATAGGTTCAAAACCTACGAACGGCAAGTACCAATGTGGCTTTTTCCGAGTTATATGTAATTTCTAAGATTATCTAGACACCACTGACAAACGGTGAAGGAAAACATCGCGAGGAAACCTGGGCTTATAATTTCTAATTATAAGTTTGTAATCGCCAACCCGCATTGAGCAAGCGTGGTGATTAATGCTCAAACCTTCTCCGTATGAAGCGAGGCTTTGCTCAGCAGTGGATATTTATATGCTGTTGATGAGAGATTAACTGTCAGTAAAAACCTACTGTTTTTATGTTCAATCTATATACTACAAAGTCAAAGCATTTATTTCAATTAATCCTTGATTAGGCACTTTTAAAACGTCAAATTGAATTGTTAGTAAAGTTAGGTGGTCGTTCTAAAGTTTAATTTGGAATGGAGAAGAACAATCAAGATACTCTATCGTTACTCTTTTCAAACAAATGTTTTCCCATCTTACACAATGATCCTTGACAAATATGTTAGTTCTGTTCAACATCATCATTATTATCATCATCAACAGCCTATAAGTGGCCACTGCTGAACAAATGCCTCTTCTCGCACGGAAAAGATTTGAGCATTAATCACCACGCTTCCTCAATGCGGGTTGGCGAGTTCAAACTTATAATTAGGAATTATATGCCCAGATTTCCTCACTGTGTTTTTCTTCGCCGTTTGTCAGTGTTCTTTGTTCTTTACTCTGTTAAACATGTGACATTATTATTCTTATATAGAAATATATTGAAAGAAAGAAAGAAAGAAATAAGAAAAAAAATATTCGCCATTAGGCACAATGCACCATAATTACACACAAACAAAAAAAGTGGTGAAACAAAAAAAAAACAATAAAAAACAACAACAAAAAAGATATAGAAAAAAATATTCGTCTCAGAGACACTCCACAGGTTAAAATCAAATTCATCCCGAAACAAAACACCCAAAGCCTTTTAAAAATCCAATACTAATTGAATTCCAATCAAACAATGTTCCGACCATTTTTAATCCGATCAATTAATATTCATTCATTCACAAAATAATCCGGTCGTTACCATAACTGTTAGTCAAATACATCATCAATCATAACAATTGCTACCATACATGGTATAGAATGAGTGAACGGAATGAAAAGATTGAACTATGAACGGAAGACATGTAATTGGCAATCTGCGCACATGTAACATTAACAATAAATGGTATAGACATGGCAGTTTTGTATATCGTGAATAAGTATACCGATCTATAAACAATAGGCGTCTGCATGGCATACATGCTGGTTTCACACCTTACGCTAATCTACGTGAAAAATGTACAGTTTTTTTTTAAGGGGGGAATATCATCGAATGACTGCTGAATATCATCGAGAGAGAGTGTCAGACTCTTACTGACTAAAAACCACCCCGTTCCTTCTCCTGCACGTCGAGCCGGAGCCTCGGTTACCCGTTACGTTCTACGCGACTCCGAATCATGATAAGAAAGAAAAGAAACTGTACAATAGGACTGCACAGTTAAATTGTACCTCAGTAGAGCAAACAGTTGAACTACAAAATTTTAAACCAGAATTCAGGTAATAGACTAAATTGTACAGATTATCGTACAGCTGTATAGTTAATTCCTAAAGTGTTTAGGTTGTATGAAGCTATGATATTACTATGCAGTAAAAACTGTACGGTTTAATAGTTTGGTATGATTTAACTGTACAGTCCGACTGTACAGGTCAAACTTCACACTTAAATTGTTAAATTGTGCAGTACAATTGTACAATAAAAACATGTGTATAGTGTGCATTACGCTTGTTTGTCGTTGAAGATTTAATCAAAAGGCCTGACGGTTATAAGACTTATGTTGTAAAGAGTAATCTATGTAGTATAAGTACATCAAACTTGGATGAGCGGCAATGAAGAACCCTAAAAAACAAATTGTATAGATTATGGGTCCAGCTTTTGGCTTGAAACTAGTCCAATGTTCTCCTAATATTTATGTGAATTTTTAGCAGGTAACCTGTATTATTTGTATTTATACTTTTTATACAAAACCATATATGCGAACAAGAGTATTGGGAATCAATGTTGCGATTTCGTAATACCAAGATTCGTATCCCACGGGGTGCTTACGTGGTGAATCAATACTGCAAATGTCAATACAGTTAACAATAACAGATACACTGAATACGAAGTTCCCTAGGCGATACTAACTGGCAAATAATTCTGGCTTGTGATGTTATTGTTGTGAACATTATTGCGAACGTTAATGTAGGATAGTATTTCGTTCATATAAAACACGTGAATGAAACAGGTACGTTAAATACCATGGGGGTCACCGATGACCGACTTTAGTGAAGGATTTGCCTTTAACATATTCTAATGGCAGTCAAAGGCATAACTAAGACTGCCTTGTTAGCCATGTGATGCTGAAGCATGGCTCTCCCACACTCTAACTGCCACGATTGTTACCAGTATCACAATGGTTTTCACTTATCAATATTATCAGCCCATTTAAACATGTTGTGCTCGTAATTTATAAAATTTCATTAATGATTCGCCATGATGACTATATAAGGTGAATTTAATTATCGTCACGTAGATTGTAAAGCCATAGAGGTATTTATGGCATGTAATAGCAATTAGTTGGAATATTGTTCTGGCCACCCTTCTGGCAATGACAAAGTGATTTGATGTTGAGATAGAATGGTGTGGTATACATTTTTATACACGGTACACATAATTTGTAACCGATTAAAAATGAACAAACTTAAAAAATGTACTGACTAAGACTAATACACTTGAATTAATAATAAACACATTAAATTTAGGCTACAGTTTCAATATAAATTAATTCTGAAGAGCATCAGTTACAACAAACGAAGAAACTACAATAAAATTTTCCAATAACTCAAGAAAAAGTCTTCAAAGCAAAATCGATTCAGCCTTACCACATCCAAAGAATAAGTCTTCCTGACTTCGAGCCGTCATTGTGACGGCGACCCACATTCGAACGATTGTGCATTCATTCCGATGCACCAATTGAGAGAATCATTGTTGGCATACCGGTACTAGAGAATTTAATAGGGATCTCGGATATAATGAACGTTTTCATCCGAGTTGTTATATTGAATTTTTTGTTGGCCAAAATTAATTTTATGTGGACCAACAGTCATGCATGCTGTTGAAGTCAATATTAAATTCCTCTAAAATCATACATACATTTCAGTTCTACTAAATCTTCATCCAAGGGAATAGTTTTTCTGCAAAATGTCATCCAGTACAATCACACTGATATTACTTCCTCCAGCTTCTATCATACTCATGTATTCATAAAATCACGTCAGTTAAGCGTATTATATATACACCTCACTTTTCCCTGTGTCCAAAAATAATATCACCAAAAATATCAAACGAAAATAGCATTAAAATGACCTTGACAAAGAACCATGTTTATAAGACATTCATCGCCAAAAAGATAAGTCAAGGTCAAAGATTAAAACATCACATTTTCAAAGAAATATTTGTTAAAGAATCAGAATGTCTGTACACGTGTTAAAATTTTTCAATGGCGCCGTAATTCATACATACGTTTTCCGCGTTGTCAAAGTACTCTTGCCACGAGAGTTTCCTCAAACCTTTCCTTGAATTGAGAAACATGGAGTACTGATTAGTTATTGTGACGAGACGAGACGAGCTAATAACGGCAAAGGCAAATTACATTGCTTGCATGAATTAGGTTTGTTAAAAAAAAGCTTAAAAACATAGAAATAACATTTTAAAGCTAGCGCTATTGTGGTTTATCGTTGATACTTTTTTAAGTGCATAGTATCAATTTGCTTGTAGGCCGTATATCAATCAGAAGAATGCACAAAATACGAAAAGTGTTGAAGGAATCTTAAACTGTCAAACACCGCGAGGACACTGGTGACCGCAACCTATTGTTTTTTAATTGTGTCTATAATGACAGTACTCAAAGAGTTAAGACCTATCGTTGTTTTCTTTTTTTTTGTTTGAAAGATAAACAAAAATCAAAGTAAATCAATGTAATAAAGCCTTCAAAGTTGAATATTTTGATGGACTTGTCTACCGAAAATAAAAAATAAATGAAGCGTGAAGATCATTATTGGATAATCCACTTCTAGGTCAATGGGTAACGAGACGGTAATTAATTTCCATCTTAGCCGACTCTACCTTTTCCGTTCGATAGAGATTAGCCCGATAATCTATCTGAACGAAAGCCTTTATTAATCTCTACAATAGAGAGAGATTTATCTGAAGACCTGAAAACGGATATCTGACAGGTAACATTACTATGGTAACCAACCTGATGATTTGTAATTGTTATGGCGTCCTACTTCCATAATATATTTTGGCATCAACATATAAAAATGAAGTTCTGTGGGTTTTCAAGGAATAATATTAGTATTCAGCTGCATCAGAGATTTTAAAGACAAAATACGAATTCAATTGACTGAATACAATTTATTCATAGACTAGCCTCTGTCTGCGGCTTCTCTCGCGTTCTTTTAATGGGGTGAGGGAAGGATTTACAATAAAAAAATGAAATGATGCACGATTCTATGCTGGTCACAAATAACCCGCATACCAATTGTTAGCTTTCCACATTGAAAATTGCAAAATACCCCATACAAACTTTCACCTCTGTTTCACGGAAGTGGAAGGGGGTTAGAAAAAGACAAAAAGTAGCCTATGATACTCTCCATCTTTTCAACTATCTCAAATCAAAAACCTTCCTGACTCCGTTCTGTCGTGAAATACGGACAAACAAACAAACAAGCACATACAAATTTATATTATTAGTATACCTCTACATTTCTTAAGTCATCTGAGATTTGTGTGACAAGTGAGTTTACAAAGTCAATGTGTCATAGATTTTTTTTATACTATGGTATTAATATTAAGGTATGCAAAGAGGTTGACAGCAGTCTAAGGAGATAAAACCACGAATAAAATATTTTCAGT